GGCATCATTGATGGACTCAAGTGTGGCAGCGGTAGTGAGGTTGGCCCAGGATCGGACATTGTTTCGTTCTGCTGTGCATGGGGTCGCTATGAGTCTGTTCTGACTCAATGGCACCTGACAACAACAACAATTTTAATGTAAGGTTAAGAACCACTGAGACAGAAGCCTCTCTAATCAGTAATGAGTTCTGAGATAATCATTCCGCCATTAAAATAAAGGAAAAAGAGCAGTCTAGGGAGTCCTGGTGTGGTACTGTAGGATAAGCACTGGACTGCTAACCACAAGTTCAGCAGTTTAAACCCACCAGCCACACCTTGGGAAGCCTTTACAGGGCCTAGAGTTAGAACAGTAACAACAGGGAGGTAAATGATACAATCTTCCAAAGGCCCCCTTCACACCTCCCAGAGGAGAAATCACAAAGTTGCTAACAATGTGTTACTGCTGTTGTTAAGTGCCGTGGAATTAGTTCCAACACAGCAATTCTGTACAGGGTTTCCGAAGAGTGCCTGGTGAGTTTGAACTGCCGACCTTGCAGTCTAGTGCTTAGCCTACAATGCCATACAGTAAACCAAATATCTTACCTGCAAAATACATGCCTAGAATTAATAACAGCATCTGTCTTAGGATCCTCAATGACCCCATGCATTGGATAACAGGGTAAGAATTAGTTATCAAAGCCTTATAAAAGTATGCAAGGAAAATGATTAATGACTTATATTCTTTATTGAAGTAAAATTACACTATATATAAAACAGCAATTGATATATAGAGTGATTTAGTGAATCATAACATATACAATTATGTTTGAAGTCTAGATACAAGCTACAATGATTGTGATAACAGGATTTGTAGTCCACATTCTCCAGGACAGATTTATTTAGTCATCTTTGCTCGAAGTCGTCGTTTGAGAATCTGGTGATCACTTTCCTTTCTTTTCTGGTCCATCAATATCTGAAATTACAATTTCACCATGATTTTAAATTACAAGTGAAAATAAAAATAAAACCTTGTTAATAAATAGGGTAGGTTCTTATGTTTAATAAACTGGAATAGTAAGTACATTATAAAAGCTTTTGTCCTCTTAAACTGCATGTATACAATCTTCCATAAAATTCACACCTGGAGAAAGAATATATTATATCAAAGTGTCAACACTGCTTACTCTGTAGTCAAATCATCTACAATTGATAATGAACTCAGGGCTCATAAATGATGATATGGAGTCCTGGTATGGCGCTCTAGGATATGCACTTGACCTCAGGGTCGGTTTGAATGGAAAAGTCAGCAGTTCAAACTTAGCAGCCGCTCCCTGGAGACCCTATACAGGGTCACTATCAGTTAGAACTGATTTGACAGCGCTTAGCAGCAATAACAACATGCTATGAAATAGTTATTGAAATAAATGAAAACAAGAGCCTCAGATAATTGTTTTATAAAAGATGTTTCATAGCAATGATTTTAAAACTTAGAATTATACTGTAAGAAAGAAAGCAATATTTCTTTAGCCAAAGAACAAAATTATGTACTAATCAGATGATGCTGTTGCTGTTAAATGTCGTCAAGTCAGTTCTGACTCATAGCATCCAAGTATAGGGTTTCCAAGGAGCGGTTGGTGGGTTTGAACTGCTGACCTGTGGTTAGCAGTCCTGGCTTATCCTACAGCTCCACACCAGGCCTCCTAGTCAGCTACTAATCAGACAGATGGTGAAACATGACCAACAGAACAGTTCTTCAGCAACATTCCCTAACTGACTCTAACTCTTTACCAACCACCTTCAACTATTTAAATAACTACTGTTGCAAAAGGTCTCTCCCTGATTTTTCTTGGCCACTAACGGGTGAAGGTTTTTCCTTTCATTATCTTTCTATCTTTATCTTGAACTCTAAGCCAACACCAACAGAATAGAAAATTAGATTTTCCCTAGCGAGCACAGCTCAGTGTGAGAGAATCGTAGTATCAAGGTGACGACAACAGTTTTCCTAACAGAATCGAGATCAACTTGAGGAAAGGTGGGCGGAAACGACAAAATGTCAACGTTTACCGCCATGTACATTTTAGCCCAAATACGTGTAACTTCTGTGGGAAAGTTCAAAAGTAAATCAGCTGTTATATGCAAATAAATAGCAGTTAATCCTATCGATGGGATTAAAACTCCTCTATTAGTTTTCAAACGCAAAGGAATAACACTTTCATACACTAATGCAGTATTTCTATTTAACACACCATAGATCAAAAATGAGCATTTAAAGCATTTCAAGTTATCTAAAAAGCAGAAAATCAAACCATTATGGAATTAAAGCTATAACCAACATTAAAGAATTAAAAAGAACTTAATAGCTTTACATTTATCAAAACGTAAGGATTAGCTTACCACTTGGCCAGATATATCAATCGGAGATGAAATTTCATTTGTGTATAATTTCCGTTTGGCTCGTTTTGGTCGAGATGCATTTTCTTTGCTTGCGTCCATATTTATCGGCTTTGAAGTGCTTATTGTCTCAATTAGCTTCTTTGCTATGGAAAACAGTTTTTAAATTAATGACTGAAATAAAAGTAATTATTACAGATCTGAAATCCTTTAAAAAAAAAAAGAACATACACAAAGTATAAGAATAACGTAAGTGGCCAAAGAACATTCACAAAGAAAAAGTGAACTGCCTAATGAACATATGAAACAATGATCACACAAACACACGAAGTAAATGAGACATTGCCGACCCTGCCTTAGAAACCCGATGCTTCACCTACTATACCACCAGGTTCCTTAACACAGAGTAAACGTTCAGTAACTTAGAGAATTATTAATAAATTCATGTTTTTAATGACTTGAAAGAAGTTTATGCTGTGTTACACAGAAGAATACACACCAAGCAGCATCGAAAATAGTCAAATTTAGTTAAGAACCGGCATATAAAGATGTTAATAATGAATATTAAGTGAAAGCAGTCTGTATATTGTAAACCCTTATTTTTCAGACAGACAAAACTGTTGCTTGCCTCTGGAAAGTGGAATTATAGGAATTTTTTAATTTCCTAGTTCACACAATTTTTTTTTTCCAATGGGCACATATACCAAATTAAATAGAAAAGATAAAAGAGGACTTCAAAAAGTTCGTGGAAAAAATGAATTAAAAGATAGTGGAATTTTTCCATAGTTTTTAAAGTCCCATTGTATTTCCATTTGGGGAAATTAATGGACAGTGAGGGTACATCAAAATGTATTTCTACTAGGGTTTCAGTTCATAGACGAACGGGTTTATTTGAAACAGAATGTGTCTCTGCCACAGCGGATGGCTGCAGGAAATCCAGTCTTCTTAGGTTGCCTTCAAACACAAGATCCAAGCAAAGCAGTGGCTTTCCAGGTGATCTAATACTGTTAAGTGATGTCCAGTTGGTTTTGGCTCACAGCAGCCCTGTATAGGGTTTCCAAAGAGCAGCTGGTGACTTTGCCGTGCCGCCCTTGTAGTTCCCACCGACCTTTTGGTCCAGTGCTTTACCCTAGAGCACCACACCAGGACTCTAGGTGATCTGCTGAGCCAGTCAAACTCACTGCAGAGGGTTCAGCTCAAAAGGTTACGTAGTGAGTGTTTAGGGGATCCCCAAGGGGTAATCTTGATAGAGTTTCTTGAAGGACACAGGACATTCACAGGGACATATTATAAAAAAAGTGTAAAGGAAAGGCCAGAAAACTCAAGCTGAGGAATTTTTTTCCACCACAGCAACTTTTCGAGGGATGTCCTACAAGAATTTTTTTTCAGAAACTTTACCCTATCCACCCTACAGCCTTGTTCTTGCTTTTTCAAATTTTAACCTGTTTCTTACACTCATATAACATTTAAAAAGAAAAATATGTAGTCTTCTAAGTATGCCAAAACTGCCAATTTGACATGATACAAATTGAAGCATGCAGAATTCTTCAGGGAAGGGTTACAGAGATAGAAACACTGGCCTCTGAAATACAGACCTAGATGGAGCATGTTTTGTTTAATAAAGGTATCTAAGGTTTTGCAGCAAAACTTTCTGACTTACCCACAAATAGAAACACGTATATTATGTTTTAAAGCAGATGTTTACATAAATAAAATGTTTTTGACATACTAAGGAAAACATGTGAAGGATATATATCATCATAGTATTAACAATGAGTACCTCATGAAGGGGTAATTCCTTGGGGCAGAAGGGAACCTAAAATATCCTTCTTATCTATTATCATGTCATCCGTGCAATATGCAGGTTAAATCTCATCTCCTCTGTGAAATTCTTCCCAAAGCCCACTAATCAGAATAGCTCTTTTCGCTGCACTGTTATCCCTTTGCTCATACCTCTATTACTATGAGGGGGTTTGATGAAGTTCAAGGAAAAATCGAATTAAAAGATAATGGAATTTTCCCACAAATTACTAAAGCCTTCCCTGGATCATTTAAATATAAATCTTTCTGCTCCACCAGGAGTCCTGGTGTGGCACTGTGGGTTAATGCACTGGGCTACAAAGTTTCAAGCTCACCAGTCACTCCTCGGAAACCCTCTACAGGGTCGCTGTGGGTCGGAACCAACACGACGGCACTTAACAACAACACAGTGAATACCTAGGCATATTATCATCCTTTCATCTTTTTGCTCCTGCAGTACCTAGAAAAGGTAGTATAATACTCACTGTATTAAACTGTTGTTGGGTTTATACACTAGCCATATACTACAAGATACCCTGCACACAGCATATTTATTAAATCAATGCAAACCTTTTGATTGGAGAATTGCTGGAGACTGTTGTAGGAAGTCTCCAAATTTCTGTAGCGTTCTGTCATTTTTCTTAGGGGTCAAATTTACACTAACTGTAGATGCCTGACTTCGTAAAGAATACGTTTTCTTAGATGATGGACGTATAGAAACCTAATAAGCAAGCACATTTTTCGTTAGATGTAATGAACTGTTAGGAGGATATAACTATAGCTGTGCTTAAAAGATTTAGCAAAAACAGAAAGTTTAATGTCTCTATGTTTCATCTAAAATAAGCCATAATCAAAAAGTAGAATTACAATAGCCAGTCAGATGATAGATTCTAAGATATAGAACTTAGGGTAACATTTATGAGGAGAAGGAATGTGCGTCAGAAGGAACGTGACCGGCAGTGTTAAGTCACAAGTTACACAAGAAAAAGTGCCAGCTACTGGCCAAAAGTTAAAGGTTACATTTCAAACAATTATATATTTAAGGAATGGATTACAAATGAGTACAACAGAACAAAATTGGATTTCTGGACAATTACTAATCATAATTTAGCATCTGTGTTGTTTCTAATTTTACTTTGCACTTTATGAAAATGGTCAATTTGGGACAAAGACAAACCTTTTGTTCCTTTTTGATAGACGAAGATCTGTGTTCTAAAACAGGGAACTTTAAATTACATTTAGGTGTAGCATTCTTCTTATTTTCACATTTCATCAAGTCCTAAAAAAAATGTATGAATGATTATTTATGATTTATTATTATATTTGTATGATTATTTAAAATAGTAGTTCTAAATCAGGGATGGTTGATCCCAGGGAACACATGTTTGAAGACATTTTTGGTTGTCATTACTTGGAGCAGAGTAAGGGGAAGACAGAGGGTACAGCTTGTGACTGTGGGTACAGGAAAGGATGCTGCTGACACTTGTAAAGTGGACACGACAGCTTGTTTTACCCAAAGAGTTATCTGGACCAAATGTCAGTAGTCTGAGGTTAGGAAACTCTTACCAAAGTTAGGACTTTTTCTCACAAACAACAAATAATAAAACAACATGATCTAAGTAAGGTGTACCAGCACTCGTCTAGTCAGTGTGTCGGTCTGCAGTGGCCTGAGTGTAGCTGTCACGGTGGACGCTATGCCACTGGTATTTTCAACAACAACAAGTTCACCCATGAGGCCAGATTTCCGTGGAGCTTCCAGACTACGAAGAAAGAACGGCTATTTCTGAATGTTTAGCAACTGAAAACCTTATAAACAGCAGCAGAACACTGTTACATATATTGGCAGAAGCCAAACAAGTATGAATTGCACTGGAATATTATCTGATTTAGTGCTTGAGAATGAATCCCTCAGGTTTGAAGGCACTCAAAATATGACCGGGGAAGAGCTGACTTCTCCAAGTTGACCAAGATGATGGCAATGGAATACATCTTTCAGGACTTCATTTGCTGATGAGGAACAACTCAAAATGAAGAGAAACGCCTGCACCTATCTACTAATAATGAGAACACGGAATGTACAAGTATGAATCTTGAAAAATTGGAAGTTGTTAAAAACTACATGGCGCACATACAGAACAATATCCTAGGTATTGTTGTTGTTGTTGTGAAGAGCCATCGAGTCGGTTCCACTCCACAGTGACCTTGTTTAGTTTCCGAGGAGCAGATGGTGAGCTTGAACCACCGAACTTGCAGTTCAAATGGCTTTGCAGTCTGGCGCATTAACCCACAGCGCTATATCAGGACTCCAGCATCCTAGGCATTAGTGGACTGAAATGGACTCGTATTAGCCACTTTGAATGTAACAATCATAGGGTCCACTATGCAGAGAAAGGAGCTCTGGTAGCGCAGTAGTTATGAGTTGGGCTGCTAATCTCAAGGCCAGCAGTTTGAAACTACCAGTCATTCCACGAGAGGAAGATGAGGTTTTCTGCTTCCGTAATGATTTACAGTCTCAAAACTCCTATATAGGGTCACTATGAGTCGGGACTGACTCCACGGCACATAACCACCACTAAACAGAATGACAAATTCACAGAGTGGTGCAGCATTCACCATCAAAAAGAACATTTCAGTATCTGTCTTGAAATACAGTGCTGTCTGTGATAGGCAATATCCTTACAAATGTTGTTGTGGTTAAGTGCCTTCAAGTCGCTTCCGACTCATAACGACCTCGTATAGGGTTCCCCAGGAGTGAATGGTTAGCTTGAACCACTAACCATGTGGTTCGAACTGACTTTGCAGTCCAGGGCATTAACCCACACCAGGAACACATGCCTATTGTTGTGGTTAAGTGCTGTCGAGTTGGTTCCAACTTATAGTGACCCTGTATAGAGTTTCCAAGGAGTGGCTGGTGAGTTTGAACCACCAACCTTGGGGTTCAAACTGACCTTGAGGTCCAGCGCCACACCAGGATTCCACATGTCTATTAGGAATACCAATGAATACCAATATTACTCAAATGTATGCACCAACTAGTAAAGCACGTGATGATGAAAGTGAAGAATTCTAATGACTTCTTCAGTGTGAAATTGATCATATGTGCAATCAAGACAAGAAAAGTTGTGGGATAATCAAGAAAATCATACAGGAAGAAGGCAAAAGATCATTAAAAATATAGGAAAGATAGCAAAGAGTTCAAATGTATGTTAGAAGAGACTCTAACACTTGCTCTCCAGTGTATAAATGCTAAAGTAATTGGAAGAAATGAGTAAGACAAAGAGCTGAACAGAAAATTTCAAAGGGCAGCTCAAGAAGACAAAGCCAAGTATTAGAATAAAATTTACAAGGACCTGGAGTTAGAAAAATAAAAAGGAAGAACATGTTCAGCATTTCTCAAGCTGAAAAATAAAGAAAAATTCAAGCCTCAACTTTCCATATTGAAGGATTCCATGGACAAATACAAATGATGCAGAAAGCATCAAAAGAGGAGCCAATGGTACTAAAGGAAGAAGTCCAAGATGCACTAAAGGCACTGGTGAAAACACAAGGCTCCAGGAACTGACAGAATACAAACTGAAATCCTTCAACAAACTGAGGCAACACTGAGGCACTTCAACAAACTGAGGCGCTAACTTATCTCTGCCAAGAAATTTGGACAGTTTTCTGGCCAACTAATTGGAAGAGACCATATTTGTGCCCGTTCCAAAGACAGGTAACCCAATGGGATGCAGAAATCATTAAACAATATCATTAATGTCCCTTGCAAGTTAACTACAGCTGAAAATAATTCAAAAATGCAACAGTACATTGACAGGGAACTGCCAGAAACTCAAGCCAGATTCAGAAGATGACATGGAACTAGGGATATAGTAGCTGATGTCAGATAGACCTGGGCTAAAAACAGAGAATACCAGAAAGACGTGTGTTCTATACACTAAGCAAAGGCTTTCGACTGTGTGGATCATGACAAGCTATGGATAACATTGCAAAGAATGGGTATCCCAGGACACTTAACTAAGCTCTTGAGGAACCGGTACACAGAACAAGAGGCAGTTGTTGGAACAAAACAAGTGGACACTGAATGGCTTATATAATCAGGCAAAGTGTGTGTCAGGTCTGTATTCTTTTACCATACTTATTCAATCTGTATACTGAGAAAATAATCTGAGAAGTTGGATTATATGAAGAGAACGTGGTATCAGGAAGACTCCTTAACAACCGGCTATAGACAGAAGATATAACCTTGCTAGAAATGAAGAGGACAAAAATCAAAGACAATGATTGCACCTCAATGTAAAAACAACACCAACAAATCTTCACCACTGGCCCAATAAATAATATCACGATAAATGGAGACAAGACTGAAGTAGTCAATGACTTCTTTTTGCTTGTATTGACAATCAACACTCATGAAGAGGCAGTCTAGAAATCAAATGACATGCTGCAATATCTGTTGCACGAGACCTCTGTAAAGTGTTTAAGAGCAAAGATGTTAGTTTGAGGACTAAGGTATGCCTCGCCCAAGCCATGGTATTTTCAATAACATCATATGAATGCGAAAGCTCAGCAATAAATAAGGAAGACTGTAAAAAAATTGATGCATTTGAGTTATGGTATTAGTGAAGAATACTGAAAGTACTATGGACTGTCATAAGAGCAAATACATTGGTTTAAGTACAACCAGAATGGTCCTTATAAACCAAGATGACCAGACTTCTTCTCTCACACTTTGAACATCAGGAGGGACCAGTTCCTGGAGGACTCAGTAAAAAAGAGGAAGAACCCCCTAACGAGATGGATTGGCACAGTGGCAGCAGCAATAGGCTCAAACAGGACAAGTGTGCGGATGGCACTGGATCAGGCAGTATTTCGTTCTGTTGTGCATAGTGTTGCTAAAGGGCAGAACCGACTCGACAGCTCCTCACATAACAACAAAACAAAGCCAAAAACCAATAGAAAGGATTTGTCTTTGATTTGAATCTCATCTTTTAAAAAAGACAGCAATAAATCTTTAAAATGAAATGTACAATACTACACCTACCCTCTCCCCAAATTCTAAATCATACAGAGCATCAATGCCTAAGACTTCCAATTAAAATTTAGTGACATCAAAAACAATATAATCTGACAACACTTTTCAGCATAAGCACAGGTAAAATATGGAAAATCAAGAAAAACTTCCTTACCTACCACACAGGCTCTTTTGTGGAGTGCTTTGTAGGAACATCCACTAGGTACTGACCTGGTACAAATCATGGTTGCACCAAAGATTTTAAGTATAAGGGGGAAAAAAATAAATAAAAGGCAAGAGGAAATGCCAAGAAAATATCATAAATGAATCTCAGATTCCAAGCTACCACCCGCCTCCAAGACTGAAACTCAAAGGGAACACATGAACAGGCATGTAAGCTTGTTGGCAACCACACTGGTCTACTGGTGAGTGGAAGAAGGGGAAAGGCAGCAATAAAGAAATGGGCTGAGTTCAGTCACGCTCCATATACTCCTGTTGACCTAGAGATGAGAGAGAGAAGAGGAAGAGCTGCTTGGCCCGAAGTGTGGTGTGAGACCTGGGGACACCTGAGTCCATGGACAAGGACACAGGCATGGAGGGCTAGAGCTGAGAGTGAAGAATACAGCTGATATGAAGTGAGGGGAGATGCACAAGAACACCCAAACTTGCAGATAGTATCCCTTTGACCTAGCCTCGATGGCTTGATGATCAGAACTCGACTACAGGAAGATAAAAAAAAAATTTTTTTTGGATAAAGGAAACAAGGGTAAATTGCTACAATTTGATGAACCTGACCTATAGTCATGGAGGTAGTAACTCTAAATACCAACAGAGAAGGTTGGAGTCTTCACATCAAGTATCAATGCTATCGCCTCTGTAGACAGAGTTGATAGGGAAACACTGCCTGATCCTGGGCCAACCTCACTACTGTTGCAATGCTTGAGTCCATTGATGCTGCCACGTAGCCAATCCATCTCATTGGGGTCTTCCTCTTTATCAAACATGATATCCTTCTCCAGGGACTGGTCCCTCCTGACAATATGTCCAAAGTTTGAGAGACGAAATTTGGCCATCCTGGCCTTCAAAGAGCACTCTGGCTGCACTTCTTCCAAAATGGATTTATTGGTTCTTTTGGCAGCCCATGGGAATTTCAATATTCTCTTCCAACACCATAACTCAAAAACATCAATTCCTTATTCACTATCCATCTTTCACATCCATATGAGGTTATTGAAAATACCATGGCTTGGGTCACACGCACCTTAGTCCTCAAGTTGACATCTTTGCTCTTTAACACTTTAAAAAGGTCTTGTGCAGATTTGCCTAATGCAATACGTCCTTTGATTTCTTGATTGCTGCTTCTGTGAATGTTGATAGTTTGATCCAAGAAGAATGAAGTTCTTGACAACTTTAATCTTTTCTCCACTGATAAAAATGTTTATTAGAACAAGTTAATTTAGAAATAACTATTTTCATTTATTAGTACCTACCAAGCGCCTGGTGTGGCACTGTGGGTTAATGCACCAGACTGCAAAGCCGTTTCAACTGCAAGGTCAGCAGTTCAAGCTCACCAGTCACTCCTCAGATACCCTGTACAGGGTCGCTATGGGTCAGAACTGATAGGAAAGCACTTAACAACAACCAAGTGCAAAGAAACAGACAAGCATTTTACATACATTATCTCTAATCCATCATTGTAAAAGGCAGGATATGGAGGATCAGAATGCTTATGGTGGTGGTGGTTATGTGCCGTGGAGTCAGAACCTACTCACAGAGACCCTGTGCAGGGTTTCCGAGGCTGTAAATCTTTAAGGGAACAGAAAGCCTCATCTTTCTCCTGCGGAACAGCTGGTAGTTTCTAACTGCTGACCTTGCGGTTCATAGCCCAATTCGTAACCACTACGCTACCAAAGTTCCTTCAGAATGCTTATATGATTTATCAAATGTGCATGCTTAGGATGATAGCAGAATGTTTAAAAGTTCTACAATCAGAAAGCTATAGTAAGAAGGGGTCATAGGTAAACAATATGTTGTTGTTGTTAAACACTGTGGAGTCAGTTCCGACTCACAGAGACCCTGCACAGGGTTTCCGAGGCTGTAAATCTTTACAGGAGCAGAATGCCTTATCTTTTTCCCGCAGAACAGATGGTAGTTTCAAACTGTTGACCTTGAGGTTGGCAGCCTGACTCGTAACCACTACAAGCTGATAGAAAATAATTTCTCTTCTAAAGCTTCAGAGAACCAGAGATTTATGATTTCAGTTAAATGACAAAGATTATACTCAAGGACATTAGTCATTTCAGTTTCTCTGAGTTCTAGCAACAACACTTTTCACTCTTTAAGGAAGAAAGAACTTGGTTTGGCCTCCTGTCTGGTTTCTGAAAACTGTCCTTGGTATCTGGCAGCAATCAAAGGCCTGTGTTTTATGAAACAGGCAGGGAACACTTAACTTTATGTGTAAATGAGTAAGGCTGCAGGCCCCATCCTAGCAACAGGCCTTAGGTTGCAGTCCATCATGCATATTCATTAATTAGCAATATGAATTGGGCCGCAAAGACTAAGGGACAGTGGGGCTTCCTCATTTGGGATTTCCTGAATTGGTGCACAGGAGACGGTATGGAATGTCTCTGGGCACAATGGAAGCCACATTCCAGGAACTTAACAATGTAAGCATAGGTGTTGTCCTGGGCCCTGGAGTTGGTTCTGACTAATAGGGACCCTGTGGTGCTGTAGGATAAGCACTGGAAGGCTAACTACAAAGCTGGCAGTTCAAACCCACAGCTGCTCCTTGGAAACCCTATACAAAGTTGCTCTGAGTCAGAAACAATGCAACAACACTTAACAAATCAACATAGGGTTTCCAAGGAGCAGCTGGTGGGTCTGAAGTGCCGACCTTGTGGTCCAGTGCTGATCCTACAGCATCATACCAGGAGTCCACTAAAGTAACAGTCTGTGAATTACTGAACCTACAAGAAGTTATGGAACTGTGTTAGATCAGGGTGACCGATTCAGAGATAAGCTGTGAAGGATGTTGATTTCTGCAGACTCCACTCTAGGTAGCTTGGTGACAAAAAGTAGCTCCAACTTGTGACCTAGAGAGCTAGGACCAGTGGTTGAAAGTGCTAGAAGCTGTGCATACTCCTGAGCCTAGGGCTGCTACCCAGAATTCTGGGTGTTAAGGATGAGAGTGTGTGCCACAGAAGAAGTAGCTGTCAGCAAGGGACAGAGATACAGGAAGGTGAAGTCTGGATCCATCCACTGGACTTGTGTTGATCCCTGCCATACAGTTAGTGATAAAGATGGGGTTTGCCCACCTTGTCCATTAGCAATGAGATAACTATGCAAGCTTTCCAAAGGAGAGAGAGTGACAAGGTTTGAACTGCAGTATATTCAAACAACATTCCAATACTATACCCTGCTGTTTGAGCTATCACATCTTCCCTGCAACAAACATGAGCTAACATCTTTTAATATCCGTAAGATTTTTGAATTTGAGGACTATTAAGCCAGGGATATTCTTAAAGGGTATAAAATTTAACATAAATTAATATTTTTGTCTCTAACAGTGTAGCAGGGTCTATTGTATGACTCAGAATAATAGTGGTAAGATTTGCTTGTTCTATTTCCTTATCACTCTGGCCATTTACCTCATCCATTTCATTACTCTTCCTCTTCCTGGATTTGGAAATCTTAACCGTCACTGGTGAGTTACAACCAGGGTGTTTCACTGCCACTTGGTTTGGCCGCAAAGGTGTAAACTGAATCTCTAACTCAGGTTTTGGAAACCGAGTAATTTGAACATTTTCTGTTGACACTTCGCAAGAGTCAAGGACTATAGATCCATCCTAGAAAAGAATTAAAAAGGGGGGGATATTTTATTAATAGAATATGCATTTTTAAATCACAAAGAATTAACTCCCTTAAGTGCCTCTGAGGATCACAAATTGGGAAGACTGTCTCACTTTAAAGGATATAGCTCATCTTTGTTCCAGTGCCTTGATGATTTTCATGGCAATTATGATTCAGTGTGGAGGTCAGCATTACGGTTCTTCAGAAACTAACCATAAGCAGCTTTGTAGCTTTTTAAAAGCCCGTTCTTGAGATACCACCCTCCTCAAAACACCATCTTTCTCAAAATCTAGCCATCAAGTTGTGAGGAGTCTAAGGCACAAACAAAGGCAACATCTATGTGTGGCTGCACTCCTAAAATTAACTGTCAGATATATTAATGAATCATTTTGGACTTTTAGCCAAGTATAGTGATTTCATGAGAGCAAGAGAAATACATAAAATAACGTAACAAATCTATTCCTCCAATCTGTAGGATATGTGTACTATGTTGTTGTTTTATTGTTAAGTGCCATTGAGTCGATTCCAACCAATAGAGACACTTTATAGGGTTCTCAAGGGAGCGCTGGTGAGCTTGAACCACCGACTTTGCAGTTCAAATGACTTTTGCAGTCTGACACATTAGCCCACAGTGGCAAATTATTGGTAATTCTTAACAGGATATCAGAGCCAGAGGATTTAGGACAGCGTAGTGGTTATGATTCGGGCTGCGAACATCAAGTTCAGCAGTTTGAAACTACCAGCTGTTCCACAGGAGAAAGATGAGGCATTCTGCTCCCATAAAGATTTACAGCCTCAGAAACCCTGTACAGGGTAGCTATGAGTCGGAACCGACTCCATGGCACACAGCCACCACCATAAATTTCTGAAGAAATGTTCCTGAATTGCTTAAATAAAATCTAATAACATTTTTAGAGATGCTATTGCTTTTTGTTTGTCTGTTTTTAACTTTTTATTGTGAACTGAACAAACATTTATGGGGCAGATCAAGTTTTACTTTCTACAATACACTTTGCTTCACGTACATGGTTACAATCCCCTCCATGTACCAACAGTTTTTAGTACTTACCTGTACTCACTTTGTTGTAATCCTCCATGTGTCTCCTGCTACCTTTATCTTTCCTCTACTAGTCTTCTTCTTGTTGAATATTGCCTGCCCTATCACCCAGGTTAACATGTGTCTACCCTGTAGCCAATGAATAATTCCATCCCCTTACCCCCTGGTAGCGTAGTGGTTACGAATCGGGCTGCGAACCTTAAGGTCAGCGGTTCGAAACTACCAGCTGCTCCGCGGGAGAAAGATGAGGCTTTCTACTCCCGTAAAGATTTACACCCTTGGAAACCCTGTACAGGGTCGCTATGGGTCGGACCCGACTCGATGGCACTTAACAACAACAACAACAACCCCCTGGATGGCCAGACTTCATCTCTCATACTTTGGACATATTGTCAGGAGGGACCAGTCACTGGAGGGGGATATCATGTTTGGTAAGGTGGAGGGTCAGAGAAAAAGAGGAAGACCCCAGTGAGACGGACTGGCCAAGTGGCAGCATCAAGGGCCAAGTGAGGCAATTAATTGTGAGGTTAGCCCAGGATCGGGCAGTGTTTCATTCTGTTGTACACAGGGTCGCTATGAGTCGGTACCGACTCAATGGCACCTTAACAACAACCCCCTTAACCATCATAGATTGTTTCTTCAGAGTTCTGGGACCACTATCCCTGAATCTGCTTGGTCCGGTATTCTGTGTTATTGCTGATAGAGATCCTCACTGCACTTCTACCCTATCCGCTATCTAGTTTATTCCCCCATAGATTATTTCTTTTGTCAAGAAAACCCTTTTCTTAACTTTTCACAACATTGGTCTCATACTTTTGAATGACTAATTTTACTCAGCATAATGTCCTCCTATGTTGTTTTGCCTATCAGATCTTTGTTGTATAGGATCTGTGCAATGTGTCTGCCTAGTTTGCCATCTTATCCGAAGTCCCACTACATACTGTTTTGAAATCATATGTGATTTTGGCATGCTATAGAAACAAAAATTTTCACCTGTTCTGAAAATGCCATAAAAGCTAGAGTTTTAGTAGCAGATCTTCTAGGTGCTGTGTCCCCTCTGAAACTGCTGTTATTAAAATACAGGTTCACCAGCCCTACAGCATACCCCAAAATGAAGAAATGAAAAGAAATTATCTTGATCTGGCAGTCACACAAAAGCTGCCTCTCAAGTTATTTCTGCACTTATGATAAATTACTTGGTAGTAGTAAAGTGCCATAGAGTTGGTTCCAAGTCATCGTGACCCTGTATAGGGTTTCTGAGGAGCAGCTGGTGGGTTTGAACTGTCAACCTTGTGGTTCACAGTCCAGTGCATAACCTGCAGTGCCACACCACAATAAATAAGACTCCCTAAAATATGATAAATAAGACTCCCTAAATTTGTCTATTGATAATTCCAATCTTCATGAATTAACTCTAGGAAAACTTTAAAAACATCAACAATTAGCCCAAACAGGCAAAATTAGGGCACGGAAAAAGGCATGGTCCAAAATCCTACCACTAGACATTGCAGACTGGCCATAAGAAAACTGTCTTACCCCATTTCCTGCATGTTCCTATAATGTGAGCTTTACCTGAAGGTTTCTACATGGGAAAAAAGAAACCAATTGAGACATTAAAAAAATCTGAGCCAGGAAAAATTTTCATGGCTGCCAAATGTGTTGCTATCCATTGCCCTATTTGCCAGAAAACACCCCAAAGTTCTTCCGGATAATACCCTTTGCCTTCTAGGCCTATACTTGAATGATAGCATTATTTTACTCACCCTCAAATAGTTATAAATATCTATTAGTAATGACGTGTAGATTTTCACATTGCGTACAAGTCTTCCCCTTCTATCATGCCACTGAAACCTTTACAGGAAAGGAACTTCCTGAAGTCATCATATCCACCTGAGGACACCAAACACTGTTTGCAGTCATCAGGGAACTTATTTCACCAAGCAAGTCAACCAAGAACTGTGTCGAGTTATTGCCACTTTTCAAAAGCTGTGCTGTTATTATCACCCTCTGTCTACCGGTCTAGTATAGATAAGCTAATAATCATACAGACCCAATAACAAAGTTTTATGAAACTTTAAACTTATCCCAGACCGAAGTCCTGGTGTGGTGCTGTGGGATAAGTACTTGACCACAAGGTTTGAACTGCAAGGTTGGAGATTCAAACTCACCAAGCACTCCTCAGAAACCATTCTCAAGGGTCACTGAGTAGGAACTGACTCAACGGCACTTAACAACCGGCTGATCCAGGACCCTGACAAAACTTATAATGTATTTCTTTACCTTTTTATCTTAGTTACAGTCACTGTTCAACCTGAATTATCGCCAGTCTTTAATCCAATATTCTAAAGAATATCTTTCACAGGTTAGAGAAACCTTTGACAAATAGAAATTACACTCTCAAAGTCAGCCTAAAATCATCCAAGAAAAACAGACTGGAAGAGACATCAAATAAAAGACCTGTTAGAAGCTCAGTGGGAAACACCGTATTTAGTCCTCCTCACCGATCCTTGTGTAGCCAAATTTGTTGTTGTTAAATGCCGCCTACTCGGTTCTGACCCATAGTGGTGGTGGTAATTGTGTGCCGCGGAGTCGGTTCTGACTCATAGCCACCCTGTATAGGGTTCTGAGGCTGTAAATCTTTACTGGAGCAGAAAGCCTTGTCTTTCTTCCGTGGAACTGCTGGTAGTCTTGAACTGCTGACCTAAGATTAGCAGCCCAATTTATAACCACTACACTACCAGAGTTTCTTGTTCTGACCCACAGCGACCCTGTATAGAGTTTCCAAGGAGCAGCTGGTAAGCTTGAAACACCGACCTTGTGATTCAAACTGACTTTGCAGCCTAGCGCATTAACCCATAGCACCACACCAGTAGCAAAATCAGAGGGAATAAAAACCTAGATCCACTTGTCATGGTTAAAATAGGCTAATACTCACTCTTCTTTGCACAAGTCAATCCACTGGAAAAGTGACGGTTACATTTAAACACTCCTGTGGCCAGAAGTAGAAAACACCTGAGATAGGAGGCTGATCCAAGACCCTGACAAACCTTAAAATGTGCTTCATATCTTTTCATGTCTCTATGTTAGGAAAACTTGGCAGATGCTTATGCTCATCATTTTAAAGGTAAATTTGTTATTTGATACCCTCCTATCCTCAAGTCCATTTGGCCTTCCTGGTGGGTCCCTCCACTACAAGGATCTAACTGGGTTGCTTTTGACCAATGGATATAAGAACAATGGAGAAATAATGTAAAGAAAAAAAACATTATTAGATTTTCCATTGACAAATGGCCTCTTCAGACCTAAACAAGCCTAAGCAATAATTTAACCATTAGTCTTTATACAATTCTTAATTTACTAAATAAAATTGTCCAAGAAGAACTACCTAAACTATCTTCCAAACCCACCACAGTACTCTTAGTATTGTAGGTTTTTATCAACAACTGTGAAATGATTCATTTAGTTAACTCCCCAAGCAGGGAGGCGAAATGAGGTTGTTCCTCTTTTCTGAGAACAATCTAACCACATGCACATGAATAACCCAGCTTTTAACAGATATATGGGATACTTTCCAATGTCTGAATGTAGATTAGTTATAACTTTAAAAGCAACAGACTGGCTGATCATCGACAGGCTACGATACTCAGTTATCTATTAGGTATTCTCTAACATCATTTTTTGTCTATATGGGACTAACCTATGGACCTGACTCATGCCTACCTGGAAAGGAAGATACACTCTGGGCCTGAGTTGGACTTCAGGACTTACAAGGGGGCTTCAAAAAATTCATGGAATTAAAATATAATGAATATAGAAAGATGAGGCTTTCTACTCCCGTAAAGATTTACACCCTCAGAAACCCTATACAGGGTCGCTATGGGTCGGAACCGACTCGATGGCACATAACAACAACAACAACAATGTTCCACAAATCTTTTGAAGCCGCCTCATTTTTAACTGAACGTTTATCCTCTAGTGAACTAATATTAAGAGCTTGACAGCTTTGATTAGTGACATACTGGCCTGAGCACTTTTAATAGCAGTATTCGTACCTTAAGAAGGCCTTAAAGATATTGTGGACCATCTAAAACTATTGACCAAATGTCTACAAACTGCGTTGAATGACCATGGCAATGGGCTTCAAAAGGTCAGTCCCAAAATAGCAATGATTAAAAAAGTAATATTCTAGAATAGAGGGACCCTTGATATTCTCATTGAAAGCAAAGGGGTTAATTGTGACATCATAAATTTATTATTTATTAAATAATAAATAAATAAATCTAACTACTGAGTCTCTGTCCCTGACAATAGTGCTAATATTACTCACTATGCTAATCATATGCAACATATAATATGTAACATTAACAATCCTGTTCCTTCCTTAACTGAAATAAGTAATTGGTATTCCTCTGTGGTAGACTGTATAAAAAATTATTGCATGTTGGTATTTTTATATTCCTCATTTCTAATATTGCAATTTTGAAATGCTATTTGGATTCAGATCAATGCATTTTATTCATGAAATGCTGTGTTTCGAAACCACTTGATACTTTAAATAAAATCATGCTGATTTCATAGGCTTCACACCTAACAGAGTATGTAAGATTTTCTTCTTTCACAGTTACAACTTTGGAAACTTAGTAATCTGCTTCCATAAACATTACAGCCAAGAAAATACTATGAGGACATTTAAACAATCAACTAGACGGGACCAAACAGACAAGCTTTGCATAAAAGTGACAATGAGACGACAGGTAAGTACAGGAAAACTGGCTGGATGGAAAAGGGCTGTAGGGGAAGTGGAAACAGTGAGTGTGCTGACACATACAGAAAGTGTAACAATGCCACAGATCCATGCGTATGAATTACTGGATGGGCATCTAATTTGCTGTGCAAACTTTCACAACAAAATATTCAATCCTGTGGGGCAGTTCTGTTGTCACAAAAGGTCAATATGAGTCATAATCAATTTAATACCACACGACATCAATAGCAAAACTTCAAAAAAACTACAAATTGAATGCTTCATAAGGAGCTGCTTATGAGAGCACATGATACTTTTATTTTATCTTTAAAGCGAGCTTGTGGTGCAGTGATAAGCATTGGGCTGTGAACTGTAAGGTCAGTGGTTCAAGCGCACCAACCACTCTGTGGGAGAAAGAAGGCACAGTCTGATTTTGTAAAGATCTACAGGCTCAGGAACCCTATGAAGCAGCTCTACTCTGCCCTACAGGGTAACCAGGAGTCAGAATTGACTCAATGACACTTGCTTTGGTTTATCTTTTGAGAGACTTTCTATTTCCCACTACCAACTTTGTTTATATTAGCAGAGAGCAGATTAATAACCATTTGGGGATGAAATCTCTAGAAAGAATTTTCAATTATCTTCACTTCAGAAGTCTCTAATTATATTTCACACAGCCAAAAGTACATTTAGCTACTTGTGTAGCAAGGTACCTACAAAATTTATCAACTGTGATGCAGTGAATGATTTAATTTCTCTTCTAGTCATAGTCTTTGTAAACTCCCACCAAGTGACTTTTTCCTGAGTATGGGTAAGAGGAGGCAGGGGAAGCTACTGAGAACGTTATATGGCTCAGTTGACAGTTTAACAATGTCAGTTATGATCATAAAAACTTGAAAATCTAATGAAGAGCTTGGTTAACTTTGCTATCCTGCTGGGTATAAAGTGAGCCATTTTAGAAGCCAGAGGTGGGATCTCTCTACCATCGGAGAAGAGCCAGAAGGAGAAAGTATCCTTTGAACCCTGAGATCCCTGCACACTGAGCCTCCTCAACCCAGGGACAGAAAGCTATGGCACTGAAGGAATGAAAGGGGAGCAGCAGCAGCAGAACCAAAAGCCAGAGCCTGAGACACAGTGCTGGGCTTCCTAGACCACAAAGCAAGCATAGTTGAATGACTTTGAGCAGGAGGCTTACTTACAGAGTGGGGTGCCTTCAGGGACTTAACTTGGGAGCTAGGTTTGCTGACTTAAAGAGCTAGAGCTGAGTGCCTTCAGGCAGATGCTTAGAGTGGAGTGATATGCCCTGGGAGCATTCAGCAGTAGCCCTAATAGGTCTCTGTAACATTGCCCAGACAGAGGCCTGCCTGTAGGATCAGGTGAGGAGAGGCTGTTCTGACTGGAAGAATGGTGCTCTGAGCGTTTTTTCATCCTGCATTGTAACCTGTAAACTTCCCTAGTAAACCCCTTAACTGTGAGTTCTGTGTGGCCACAATGAATCACCAAACCAGTAAAGCCAAGTGGAGAGTGCTGTGGAAGGGATGGCTGGTGGCATTGCTTGAAACTACAACCAGGGTGGATTGTGTTACCTACTACCCACCTCAACTTCATTTGTTAGACATTCAACACTCGTTGGCTGAGTTTCAGCTTCAGCTGAACTAGTATGTCTGGGCATAATCTCCACACTTGGCTTTTCCTAAGGTAAAGAAATATTAAAGCAGCAAGTCATTTTAACTTGAAAATATATCAAAATACTTTACACAGAGTATAAAAATCAAGATTCCATGGAATCAACAATGAAAATAAAGACTTTTTAAATGACTACCTCCCTCTTCCTACTCCTCCCTTTCATCTTTAGAGATTCTTACAAATTCCTAAACAAGAATTTGAAAAATCATCCTCAATTTCTGAAGGGTTTTACACACATCATTACGTATATTTACAAAAACCATTGTTTCTACTTCTCAAGTGAGGAAGTACAGACCTAAAGTGAAATGACATGGTCAACATCTGTACTAAGTGGAATTTAAAGTTCAACCACTGCTTTTGACAAGAGTTTTGGAAAATTACAGGCTTCTTGGGAATGCAGCTATATGGTTAAGAGTAGGAAGGCCACAAAGATCACAAAATCTTCTATTGTTGCCTGCTACTGTTAAGTGTCACCATGTTGGTTCCAATTCATAGCAGTCCTGTATAGGGTTTCTGAGGTTGTAAATCTTTGTGGGAGCAGAAAGCCTCATCTTTCTCCCATGGAGTAGCTGGTGGGCTCAAATTGCCAATCCTGTGGTTCGCAGTCCAATGCTTATTCTACAAAGTCCACTGTGCTTCCCCCTACTGCTGCCTACTCTTTCCTTAATCTCACTTTCTCAGTAATAGGGTGTGTTTTATTCCATCAGCCAATCTAATTATTCTATAAAAAGTTTCAGATTATAGTTTTGAAATTGATCAATTCCAAGTCATCAAAATCCAAAGTCAACTATACTTCTTACATTAACAACTCATTAATGTCAAATATTCATTCTGAATCATATTTCCATTCTTTAAAGGTAGACAAAAAAACTAAGTCATACATTGTTAATTATCAAATTACTCTATCTGAGACAAATACAATACTGGAGAAATAACTTTTTCAGTTTCTCACTGACAAATCACAGTGGCAAACTGCAAAAAGTCACAGTAATTCATAATAAATATTAAAATAATTTTAAAATCTGTTTCATCTCTGTGCTACTGAAATTTTTTAAATGCTTTGAGGTAATCAATTAAAAATTATAAATTTATGTGTCTAGTAAAAATGCAAAGAAAGAACAAAATTCTACTAACCGTTTTAGAAGCCTCTGGTGTAATTTTTTTTAACTGTTCAATTTCATGATCTTTTTGAACATTACTAGAAATTAATGTTCTCAGCTGTATTTCTAAAGCTGCAACCAAACGATCTCGTTCTTCTCTCCATTTCTGAAGGTCAGTATCTTTCTCAGACAGCTGTGTTGTAAGTTTTTCCTAAACAGGAAATTGAGAAAATAAATGTTAAAATATCTAAGAATATTTAAATAGTTGTATTATAAATAAAACAAAGACAATTGCAAGCAATGCATATAACAAATTTCAGAGTTAAGACAAAATATAAAACAAAATATACAACGTAATTATATACATTAAATGGCCACGTTCTACATTTATCTCTCTTTCACTCTATTCCAAAAACCAACTTATTATTGATTACTTCCAATAATCGTAGTTTAGCTATTTCTACTAATAGCGATCCTATATAGTTTTCCAAGCAGTAGCTAGTGGGTTTGCACCACCAATCCTATGATTAGTATTCCAGTGATTACTGTGAAAATTATTTAATCGACTTAAAAAACAAAATAAAACTGCAAATCTGCTTAGGAGATAAAATATGTACACATTGTTAGAACACACAGTTCAAAATGCAGAAACTTTTTAAATGTAGTAGCAAAAAACCCTGTAGTAGTCCAAAGGAAGATATTTGTAAATCTGTACCCACATTATATTAAAAGAAAAACTTGGTTATTTTCACAACTTGTTAAATGGTCTTTAAAAGAGCAATGTAAATAAACTCTGGATAAACTAGGATTTAATTCTGGGTAAAGAGTTGAAAACAAAATGCCAACAAAAACCCATATACTAATGTTGATTGTTGGAGTATTCAAAACAGCCACCAACACATGAATGAATAATTAAAATGTGGACTATACATAAAACAGCTATAAAAATAAATGAAGTCCTAATACAAGGTTAAGACAGAAAGTACTGCTATAAAACCTTAGAAACCTTTGTTAGATGAAACGATCAGCTCTTCACATAAACATTTCTGAAGGTAGTGTTTCAATCTATCTGCCCTTCCTCTATGAGGGGGAAGTGACTCCATACCACCACCACCATCACCAGCACCGACCCTTCAATTCTGCTCTCATAGATGCTACAACATGGATGAACTGTGAAACATGTTTCACTCACAGAAGACAAATACACTATGACCTCGCTTAAATGAAATGAGCAAACATACAGAGAGCAAAGCTCAATCGTGGTTACTAGGGATAGGTGAGATGGAGAAAAGGTGAATCGTTGCTTAGAAGCCACTGAGTTTTTGCTAGTGGTGGTGGAATCATTTGGAAAGACATAGTGGTAATGGAGGCCCAGCATGCTATTGATCACATCTATCATGTGCTGCCATTACCACTATGTTTTTACTACAATGAAGCAAACATAAAACCACAGGCAACCACATATAGAAGAGTAATAAACCGACAGAAAAAGTGACCCAGCATATGTAGGTGAAATCAGTTAAATTGTTACCAACCACTTCATTCTGCAGTGTTAAGCAGCGTTCCCTGTCTTCAGCATATTTTTTCATTTCTTTGTTTCGTAGGTTCTCAGCTTCTTTTGCTTGAGTGATAAGTATCATTTTTTCTTCTAACCATTTCTTTCTGTCAGCTGTATATTTCTGTTCAGATTCCTGTGTGCATAAATTGAATAAGAAACAATCAAATGCCTAACAATTGAATTTATTTTCCCAGAATTTTCATGTCATTATATTTCCCTTTTTTAAAAAAGATTTTTGCTATAAATAATGATCTGAGTTTATTTCAGAGTACAGAAAAAGAAACATTAGATGGTCTGTTCTTAAGAACTTTCCTTCATCAAGGAACTTCATACATAAAGTATCTAAATTTCTGACAGCTTTACAACTTGGTATTGTGTTGGTCATTCTAATTGCACAGTTCCAAAAATAAAATATTCCTGGCTATGATGCTGCTGTCTTTTGTACAGTGCCATCGTTCCCACTCTTAGCAACCTTGGATATAAAGTTTCTGAGGTTGTAAATCACTATGGTATAAGAAAGCCCCATCTTTCTACCACGGAACAGCTGGTAAGCTCAAAATTCCGACCTTCTGGTTAGCCATCAAGTGCTTATCCTAGAGATCCCTTGTTCCCCTGGGTATATTCAATGCCAAACAAGACATCATTTGTTCAACAGGAAAGAAATATATTTAAGAAATATTACAGCATTGGAAACAGCTGGACCACAAATATAGTTTATCGGTGATTTCCAAATTAGGTTCCAGAGACTTCAAGTTCAGAGGCATCTAATTTAAATACTAAAAATCCATGTAAAACTTTACTCAGGAAAAAAAGCCACCTTAAAGATATGTAAACCACTGTTTTCAATACTTCTAAAAGCACTGCACTAGATGATTGTGGCATGGTCCATTCAAAGATTATAAAGCTTTTAAGATTATAATCAAAGTTGTATGATTAAATACTAGAGTATACCAATACCTCCTCCTATGAATATTCTCCATGTGGATAATGTATTTTTTATTTATAATTAATGGAGCATTTGCTTTATTCACACTTCCTGTTGTGAAGTGCAATCGAGTTGGTTTCGACCCATAGCCACCCTGTATAGGGTTTCCGAGGAGCAGCTCGGTGAGCCTGAACCACTGACCTTGCAGTTCAAATGGCTTGGCAGTCTGGAGCGCCACACACACAACGGAAAGGGTAAATTCTAGACTACATAATAAATAGTTAAATACGAAAGTAACATTGTTTTGTACTTGTTTTTAGTGTCTGATTATATAATCTGAATGTTAATATTTTGTTGTTGTTAAGTACAGTAGAGACGGTTCCAACTCATAGTGACCCTGCACAGGGTTTCCGAGGCTGTAAATCTTTACAGGAGCAGAAAGCCTCATCTTTCCCCCACAGAAAGGCTGGTAGTTTCGAACTGCCGACCTTGAGGTTAGCAGTTGGATTCATAACCACAACGCTGCCAGAGTATTTGTAACAATACTTTTGGACTTATCCTCATATAAAATATAAAATTGAGGACCTCTTCACAACTTCTTCCAAACATAACAGTTTGTATAAAGAACTTCTCTCCTCATGTCATTTCAATATTTACTGAAAAATTATATCAATTTTAGTTTTTCCCAGGATTCCTATTCCTATTTCTAATTAGTTATAAAACACTCTCAGAATTCTCCTCTTATTAGTAATATAATGAAATGTATATAATCATACCTGGAACTCATCTTGAAGCTTGCTGAGCTTTTTACTAAGCACATTTGTATTATCATCAAATTCTTTATTTAAACTTTTGGTTTCCAGATCTTTGAATTTTTCCTTCCAGTTTTCCAGTTCTGATTTAAAAACATGAAATAATTTTTTAAAGCCCATATAAAAGTCAAATTATGTAGCAACAGATGTGACATGCACAACAGACAAAAGATGAAACAAAGATAATTTAAACTACTATGCATTTATAAGTTTTTTACCAAATTCTTAGTGAAGAGGAACTACAAAGGCCTCTCGGGGCTCTGCTAAACAGTATTCAGAGTATACAACATAAATTTGTGTCAACATTAATTACGTAGGAAATTTCCCACAATTTCCCACCCCTACCTATGAAAGTGGCTAACAAAGCATAAAGAGGCATATATCTACCATTATTATAATTTTATCCACAAGATATAGTTAGGGTTTGGCAAAGTGCTCTCAGACTTATTGTCACATCTGACTTTCAGAATAATAATTTGCAACAGCATGTGATATTCTCATTAATCACATTTTATAGATCAAAAGAGTAAAACTGAGATGGCACAAGTATTCTGGTGGCTATGTGTCAAAGAGTCAGTTCTGACTCATAGTGAGCCTGCATATGGTTTCCAAGGCTATACATATTTACGGGAGCAGAAAGCCTCCTCTTTCTCCCATGGAATGGCTGGCAGTTTCAAATTGCTTACATTGAGGTTAGCAGCCCGACTCGTAACCGCTATCTACCAAAGCTCTTTATTGTAAATGGCAAAGGCAATTTACTATTTTTAAATGTCTTGCTTCCTACACAAATCACCTATTATTAAGTAGGTTTTAAATATCGCCACATCCTCTAGAAAAACTTGGATGGTATCCTTAAGACACTGGACCAGTGTTTACTAGGGCAAACATATCTAAAATAATGCTAACAACTTGACAGAAATGAAACCCAGCTGCAACTTTACTCTTGGGGAACACTGCAAGTTTTTATCCACTTATTAAAGGGTGCTAAATCATTCTTTGTTATATGGAACTTTCCTTAACTAAAAGAATTTTGACTGGTGGTGGTTATGTGCCGTGGAGTCAGTTTCAACTCAGAGCGACCCTGTACAGGGTTTCCGAGGCTGTAAATCTTTACGGGAGCAGAAAGTCTCGTCTTTCTCCCAAGGAACAGCTGCTGGTTTTGAACTGTTGACCTTGTAGTTCGCAGCCCGATTTGTAACTACTACGCTAACAGAGCTCCTTAAAACAATTTTGATTATCACAATGGAAAATGACATGTGGCATGATTCCAAAAACACACCAAATACTTTTCCCTTATGAGTTGTTACAAACACTATTCTACTTTTAAAAATGAAAAATAAAGATGTTTTCTAACATATTTTAAGATATTCAAGCAGTCTTGTTTTACCTGTGGCCAACCTTTCCGTTTCCTGTAATTTAGCCTCAAGTATTTGATCTTGTTCTACCTGAGTTTGTTCTTGTTCTTCTAATGTCATTCGCATATCTGCAATTATTTTCTCTTTAACAGTTAGATCTGAAAATTAAACATTTTGGGAAATGCTTTATAATAAAATTACAAAAACATTTTGGAAATTATTAGCATAATACCCAATTTTTCTTAAGTACTTCTGAAATTAAAAAATATATATATTTTTATTCACTACAATAGAGTCTTGTTCACTGTTACATCCTCAATACACAAAATCCATGTACTAAATGAGCCCACTTACATGAAATGTCCACCATAGGAATATCAATAGAGATAGAAAGTAGATTAGTGGTTGCCAAGGGCTGGGGAGAAGGAGTGAATAAGGAGTGTTTGCAAAGATTTCTTAAGGGGTAATGAAATGTACAGTGGTTGCTGTGCAACCTTGTGAATTTACAAATTATATACTTCCAAGAGTGGGAATGGAGTCCTGGTGTAACGCTATGGGTTAATGCGCCAGACTGCAAAGCAGTTTGAACTGCAAGGTTGGTGGTTCAAGCTCACCAGTCGCTCCTAGGAAACCCTGTATAGGGTCGCTATGGGTCGGATCCAACTCAACTGCACTTAACAACAAGAGTGGGAATATATGGTATGTAAGTGATAGTGCTTTTAAACCGGAATTTAATAAGACAAATTGCCACATCTTTCTTCTCTAGAGCAGCTGGTGAGTTCAAACTACTGACTTTTGGGATGGCAGATGAGAGTTTTAATCACTTCATCACCAGGGCTCCTTAAGTGAAAGATATTCACTTTAGAATGATAAATTCAGGAACCAGGAAAACATTAAGAACTGAAGTTGTCCATTTTTTTCTGTTTGTTTGCTGGGAAAGGTCTCACATGTCAAAACCATGGGAATGAATGAACTTTAAAGGCAGAAAAAAAACAGAGAGAATAAGCAATGCCTTAAGAAAACTGACAAAGTAGCCCAGGCTCATTCTGAGAGAGAAGACAGTTGGTATTATACAGCATACATCACAGAAGCTATAACAAGAGAGTTTTCAAAATGAGGGAATCTATATATTAATTTTATATTTAGGAAAAATACACTCATACACAATGTTACTGCTGTTGCCAGGTGCCATCCAATTGATTCCAACTCATAGCAACCCTATGCACAACAGAACAAAGCATTGGCAAGCTTATGCTTCAGCAGCACATTGCTACTGCCACCATATCAAATAGTTCTGTTGAAGGTCTTCCTGTTTGTCATTGATTTTCCACTTTATCAAACACTATGTCCTTCTCCAGGGACTGGTCCCTCCAGACAACATGTCTAAAGTATTAGAGATGAAGTCTCGCAATCCTTACATCTTAGGAGCATCTAAGGACTTTCCTCCAAGACAAATTTGTTTGTTCTTCTGACAATCCAGGGTATTTCAGTATTCCTTCAGTAACACCGTAATTCAAAAGCATCAATTCTTCCCTAGTCTTCCTTTTCATCATCCAACTTTCACATGCATAATTGCTGCTGTCCAGTAAACTCTGACTCAACAACCCTGTATAAGGTTTCCAAGGGACTCGCGTATTTGCATCCCTGAACTTGCAGGTAGCAGTCCAGTGTTTATCTTATAGCACCAATGCCAGGAATCCGCATGCACATGAAGAAAATGAAAATATAATGGCTTGGGTCAGGGGCATCTTAGTGTGCAAACTGACATCTTTGATCTTTAACATTTTAATTGAAGAGGTCTTTTGCAGCAGACTTGCCCAATGCAATACATTATTGGATTTCTTGACTGCTACTTCCATGTATGTTGACTATAGATGGATCCAAGCAAAATGAAGAATTTGACAACTTTCTATCTTTTCTACACTTATCATGATGTTATTTATTAGTCCAGTTGTGAGGATTTTTGTTTTCTTTACATTGAGGTACGATCCATGAAGACTGTCATCTTTGATCTTCTTAGTATTTCAAGTCCTTTTCAATTCCAGCAAGCAAGGGTACATCATCTGCATATCACCGGCTGTTAATGAGTCTTCCTTCAAACCTTATGCCACTTTCTTCTTCCTATAATCCAGCTTCTTGGATTATTTGCTCAGCATAAAGATTGAACAAGTATGGTGAAAGGATACCACCCTGAGATACACCTTATCTGATTTTAAACCATTCAGTATTCCCTTGTTCTGTTCAACTGAATGACTCTTACTCTATGTACAGATTCCTCATGAGCACAATTAAGTGTCCTACAATACCCAATTCACGCAATGTTATCTTAAGTTTGTCATCATCTACACAGTTTAAAGTCTTTGCATAACTCAAAAGTACAAGTATACATATTTCCGGTATTCTCTGCTTTTAGACAAGTTCCATCTACTACCAGAAATGATATTCCTAGTTCCACGTCCTCTTCTGAATTCATCTTGAATTTTCATAGCTCCCTTTGGAAATACTCCTGCAAATGGATTTTAATTATCTTCAGCAAAATTTTACTTACATGTGACATGAGTGACATTGTTTGATGATTTTTAAATTCCATTAGGTCACATTTCTTTGAAATAGTCACAAACATGGATCTCTTCAAATTAGTTGCAAAGGTACCTACCTTAAAATTTTCTTGGCATAGAAGAGTGTTTCCAATGCTGCATCAGTTTGTTGAAACGTTTCAATTTGTATTCCATAAATTCCTGGAGACTTATTTTTTGCCAATGCCTTCTTCATTGCAGCTTGGGCTTTTTCCTTTAATATCATCATATGGTATTGATCATATGGTATCCTCTACAAATCGGTGGTTATCAACTAAGTCTTTTAGGTACAGTGACTCTGTGTATTCCATCTTCTTTTGATGCTTGTTACATTGTTCAACATTTTGTCCATGCTGTTGTTAAATGACATTGAGTTGGCTCTAATTCAGAGCAACACTGTATAGGGTTTCTAAGGCTCTGGTATCGTAGTGGTTACAAATAGAGCTGCTAATCTCACAGTCAGCAGTTCAAAACTACCAGCTGTTCCATGGGAGAAAGATGAGGATTTCTGCTCCTGTAAAGATTTATAGCCTCAGAAACCCTGTACAGTGTCGCTATGAGTCGGAACCAACTCCATGGCACACAACAACAAAAAGTCTTTGCAAAATCAGAAAGTCTCATCTTTCTCCTGCAGAGCAGCTGGCAGGCTCAAATGGCAGACCTTGTGGTTCACAGTGCAATGCTTAGAGTATGAAGATTCTATGCTCCCATTTTGTCCATGTTGTTGTTAACTGCCGTTGAGTCGATCCCAACCCATAGCGACTCTGATTAGGGTCCCAAGGAGCACAGAATCCTTCAAAAGTGCAACCCAAGGCTTGACTGTTTTCTTCAGTTCTTTCAGTTTAAGAAATGCTGGGCATGTTCTAACTCCTTGTCTTTGTGCAAGTCATCATAATACTTACATTTATCTTCTCAAGCTGTTCTTCGACATTTTTTGTTTAGCTCTTTAATTTCTTATTTCTTTCAGTTTTTCCTCTAAGCTCAAAAGCAAGTTTCAAAATCTCTCTGACATTTATTTTGATATTTTCCTTCTTTCCTGTCTTTTTAATTAAATTTTGCTTTCATCATTATTAATGTTCTTAATATTATCCCACAATTCTTCTGGTCTTCTGGTCATTAAACCTGTTCTTGTGATGTTCTATAAATTCAGGTGGGATATATTCAAGATCATTGTTAGGCTCCTATGGATTTGTTTTCAGTTTCTTCAGCTCAAGCTTGAACTTGCTGAAGAGCAACTGATGGTCTATTCCACTGTCAACCACTGGTCTTGTTTCAGCTGATGTCATTGAGTTTCACCATAGTCTTTTCCCACATATGAAGTCAATTTGATTCCATCTGGTAAGGTCCACGTGTATAGTCACCTTTTATGTTATTGTTTTATGTTGTTACGATGCTGATCTCCAGTATCATTTCTACCACCAAGATCATATTTTCCAACTACTGATACTCTCCCTTTGTTTCCAACTTTCATATTCCAAACACCAATAATTAACAGTGCATCTTGATTGCATGTATGATCAATTTCAGACTGAAATTCTTCAGTTTCACCATTTCCTTTAGTTGTTGTTGTTAAATACCGTGGATTCGGTTCCGACTCCTAGTGACCCTGTACAGGGTTTCCAAGGCTGTAAATCTTAACGGGAGCAGAACACCTCCTCTTTATCCCAAGGAGCCACTGGTAGTTTTGAACTGCTGACCTTAAGGTTGGCAGCCCAACGCGTAAGCACTATGCTACCAGAGCTCCTTTAGTAGTTGATGCATAAACGTGAATAGTTGCATTAACGGGTCTTCTGTGTATACATACCATTATTACTCCCTCATATTATTCTAACAGACAGCATTGTACTTCAAGATAGATCTTGAAATGTTCTTTTTGACAATGAATGCAATGCCATTCTTCAATGTGTCATTCCCAGGACAGTAAACCATAGATTCAAAATGAACAATATTGATCCATTTCAGCTCACTAATGCCTAGATATTACCCTTTATGCATTTTATTTTTTATGATTTTCAACTTTATTAAATTCATACTTCATCCACATTCCAATTATTAATGGATGTTTGCAGCTGTTTCTTTCCATTTTGAGTTGTGCCACATCAGCAAATGAAGGTCTCGAAAGTTTTGCTCCATTCATAGCATTAAGGCCAACTTCTACCTTGAGAACAGCTCTTCACCAGTAGCATTCTGAATGCCTTCCAACCTGAGGAACTCATCTTCTGGCACTACATTAACAATATTCTGCTGCTATTCAAAGTAGTTTCATCCTCTGGCTTTATAACTGACAATGTTCCACTACTATTCATAAAGTGTATTTTCAGTGGCAGCCTATCTCTTTGCCCTAATCTTAGTATGGAAGCTCTGCTGAAATTGGTCCACCATGGGTTACCCTGATGGTCACCTAAGAAAAGCAGGAAGGAAAAATACGAAATACAAGAGAAATATAGTCTCACATCCACTTATTAAAACATATTCATCCAAGTCAATCCTATAAATGTCCAAGTCATACAAAAAAGTAATAATCTGGTTCTTTAACCCTTTTTCTTTATTGATCAAGTATAAATAGCATAGATTAGTAAAGAGATTCTGGGACTTAAGTGTGAGTCAGATCTGGGTTCAAATCCTAGTTCTATTACTAACACAACTGATTAAGCAATGAGTGATGGGAAAGATGGGAATCTTAGTGGTTTTAAGAAGAGAAAAATGCACATGTCACATAATGTTGTTATTGTTGTTAGGTGCCATCGAGTCGGTACTGACTCATAGCAACGCTATGCATAACAAAATGAAAGATTGCCCGATCCTGACCAACCTCACTATTGTTGCCACACTTGAGTCCATCGATGCTGCCGCTTGGCCAATCCACATCATTGGGGGTCTTCCTGTTTTTCTCTGACCCTTCACCTTACCGAACATGATATCCTCCTCCAGTGACTGGTCCCTCCTGACAATATGACCAAAGTATGAAAGACAAAGTTTGGCCATACTGGCCTCCAAGGAGCACTCTGACTGTACTTCTTCCAACAAAAGATCTGCTTGTTCTATGGACAGCCCATGGCACTTTCAATATTCTCCTGCAACACCATACTCAAATGTGTCAATTCTTCTACAGTCTTCCTTATTTACTGTCCAGCTTTTACATGCAAATAACAAGGCTTGAGTTTGGTGCACCTTAGTCCACAAGTT